TTTTTTTGAACTGCCTTCCACAGAGATGGGTTTCAAGAGATTGTTCACAGTCATGGAGTAACTTTTCCTATTCATATTCTTTACCAAAAGATCAAATGACCTCTCTGTGAAATGCACCTGCACATTTTCAGTGAGAACTTGGTGAACTCCAGTTAAGGCAATGTAGATTTTCACAAACTTATCTGACTGCTCCCATCCGTAATTACTGATTTTCACTGTATATCCTGTTGTAATGGCAGCAACCACAGCAGCTGGATTTTCATTGTCAAGATGTTCTTCTTTCCTCTGCGATTTCTGTTTCAATCTTGGTCTTTTCAGCTGTTAAGGGCATCACGTACTCTTTTCCTACTGGCTTTTGCAAGCAACACCTTTACCTCTTCTAGATCTTTCTGTAACTCTTCCAGAGCTGAAGCAATCGTTGGGCCGGGTCAGGCCGAGGGCCAAGCTGCAGCCATGCAAAGGAGGGAACAGGAAATGCCACACCGAGAGCGCTCACCCCACTGCAAGAGTCGCAATGCTGGCAGCCTTGCGCAAACCCGTCTTGGGGCGCGATCACCGCCTGCCCTCCCCGGACGACGGCTCTAGCTCTGCCATTCCTCTATAGAGATCAGGACATGGGAGTGGGATAACAAAGTTTCCTTATTTGAAGGCAACATTCCTTGAGGATCAGATCTTATGCCCTTTATCTCATATATAAACAGCCTCACTTTCTGTGAGTTGTGTCTCTGACACCTTCTGTGAGGGAGAACTTCTTTGGAAGGTCTTAAAAGAATATTTCCTGAAGTCCCCTGGCATGCTGGGTCCAGGTGAGGCTCAGCTATCGCCTGTCACGCCAGCCCCAGTCTCTAGCTGTTGGAGTTAGTCTAATATGCAGCCATGTCAGGGTTACTGGAATGAGGGATTAATTCCAAACCACTTTGTACTGTGTCAATTTGACCCATAGAAATTTACCTTTGTTACAGGATCTGAAGCAGCACCCCATAATTGAACACATTGTTATTTCCACAGCAAAGCATACAAATATTCATGCCAAGCGGAATGAATATCAGTAAATACCCTCATGCCAGTTCAGGTCAGGTTTTGGTTTTATCAAAACTGATTCTTGGCCTCCCTCCAGCCAACCCCCATTCCATGATATTTTTGTGAACTGAATCCAGTGATCCAATCCCTCTGGCAGAGGCATGTGCCCTTGACCCAGGCTAGCTGGAGTACCCCATGCCATGGACCCAGCGATTGCTCCAGGGTGGGCACATAGCCTGGGCTGGCACAAATCATAATTTCCTCTTAGGGATTGACATGGAGGCAGAGACAGAGAGGTATTGCTCTCCTTTTGAGATTAAAGTCCTAAGGACCTTTAAGTCGCATATCATCAAATGCCATTTCCTTTTTGCCAAGATATAGAAACTAGAAAGAATGAAACAACTGAAAGCAGAGCTGAGAGTTAGAAATCTCTGACAGGTCTGAGCATTTAAATCCAGTACCATATATTCTCTAGACATTTTAGTCTATACATGAGCCAATAAATATCTTTTTCCTCCACTAATTTGAGTTTGATTTCCTTCAATCTAGGCTAAAGTTGCTGTTTCTGGACTTATCAAGTTCATATTGTCTTTATGAGTAAGATAAGCATTTAACTTGTCCCACCAAGTGAGTTACATTTTAGTTCCCCTGATAGTACTTTAACTAGAAATATAGCTAACCTATATTTCTCATTCTGTCAACTTTAGACAGAGCTCTTAAATCCCCTCTATGTACCATGAGAATATTATTACCCCTTATTCTTCCTTCAATCTCTTATTTCCCCATCTGCCTCTAATCATCCAATATCTCAACTATATTTTGCCTTTTACCTTATTAAGTAGATATTTATAGTTATATATACTTCAGTGACTCATCTCTATATTTTAAATATAGAAAATATAGTAGCATTGTATTACTATCACCTTGTAAAAATCACCTTCTGACAAGCCAGAACCAAGTGATGGGAAGATTACAGATTACATTCCTGCTCTACAGGCCCAAGGTTATGATCCCAGTACCCACCTACAGGAGACTAGTCCCAATATCAGTCAAATGGATTTTCCTTTTTTCATACTCTATTTTCCAAAATCATGCCACATTTAATGAGGACTTGCTTTATATTAAGACTGTGATATCTGGTATGTTTTGCTTTATTTTTACCAAAGCCAATAATTGCCTTTCTTTACTTGTTAGAACAAAATTTTGTCTCCAACATATTGCTAAGGTCCTCCAACTTCATATGAATTCTATTTAATTGAAGCCATTCCATTCTTCATGAAGATTTTCTTCACTAACACCCTGGACTCTTAGTCTGACAGTAATTTGGTTTGTTTCTATGCTTGCTTCCAGAGTAGGCATTCTAATCATCCTCAACCCCACTGTCCTGGGGCACATCCACTATTTATTGAAGCCTGCCCTGCTATTTAATGCCTATTCCATACACATTTTGCTAAAGCTAAATTCTTTAATACCCTAGTAAAGAACGCATGGAAGTAAACTGCATGTCCAAAAATATCAGTATTTGGCCCCATGGTTTAATCATTATTGGCTGGATTAGGTGTCTAGGTTCAAAGTAATTTTACCTCATAACTTGGAAGGGGCTATTCTGTCTTCTATCACAGAATATTGCTGACAAAAGGGCTAAAGCTAGACTGATTCTTATTTATGGGTGACACAGACATTTCTTGAATGCATTTAAATGTTCTTTAGTATTCTGAGATTTCACAAGCCTATTTCTGGATTTTTAAAAATTTCCTGCTGTGGTTTTCCCAGCTCAGTCTGTCCAATATCCAGTGAGCTATTTCAAGCTGAACAGTCATACCTCCTTCTAAGTTTGGCAAGATTCACAATCATTTCTTTGATGTTCTTATATTTTCTCTGTCAATTTTTTTCTAGAACAGTCAGATGTTGGACCTTCTAAATGTTCATGTTCCCTTTATCTCTCATTTTTTCTCTTTTTATGTACTTGGAGAGTTTCCTTAATTTTCTTTCAGACATTTATTACAGCAGTAATTTTTAATTCTTAGGAGTTTTGTTGAATATCTAATTGTTCTTTATTTTATAGCTTCCCATTGTTTAAAAAATGTAACATTTCTTTAAATCTCAAGCTAAAATAAATTTTTCATTTTCTTTTGTTATTACATGACTTTCCCCACTCGGAATTTACTTGTGTCTCTTGGCCTTTATTATGGCGATGGTTTCCTTCACATGTGATGATCCTTAGCTACCTATTCATATTTAAGAATGATATGGTTTGATTATGCTAAATAAATGGCAGGGAATTCTTTGGATACTCTCACTGTAGGTCTGTTTTCCTAAGTGGGAAAGGTTACCAAAATCTCTGTTTGCATGGGCTAGCAAGTGAATGAGAGATCCCCAAAATTCCAAAAAGAAGATTTTAACTTAGACTGCCAACTCTTCAGTCTAGCGGTCCTAGTTCTCTGTAAGTTCCATTTTATCATGTTAATTTTTTAAACTATTATATTCTTGTTTAAAGCGTGAAACAATACCAGTAACGCTAAATTCCCCTTTGAGCAGAACATAGGATCCCAAGTTCCCTCCCAGAAGAAACACTTACCAGTTCGGTATCTGTTCAGAATTTTCACTAAGTGTGTGTATACTTATATGAATGCATTAGGAATATATTTTTAAACATATAATACTGTATGTATTATTGTGAAATACTTGTATTTTCATCCAGTTAAGTCTTTTAGTCAAATCAGTATCAATATTATCAGTTTATTCTTTTAAACTGCTGCAGAGCTTCTGGTCACGACTCTATTGATAGAAATTTAGATTGTTTCCAATGTTTTATGTACCAACCATACTGCCCTCCAATGTGGCTATAGTAGTGAGCATTTAAGAAACTTCACCACCTTCAAAGTGGGATGAAAAGAAGTCATTTCTCCACACCATTGTCAACACTTAATATTACACTGTTTAAATGAGCATCTCTTAAAACTAGTGAGGTTAAGCAAGGACATATTTACCAGACATCTTTATTTCTTCTATGATTTGCCCATGCTTATACTTTACCCATTTCATACTTTTTTAGTTTCCCTTTACTTATTCATAGGTGTTCTTACATCTGTCTCTTTGTGTTACACTACAAATATATTTCTTCCTTCCTGTTCTTTATCTTTTAACTTTGTTTAAAAGTACAGTAACTTTTGATATACTCAGCTTCATCAATCTGAAAACTGTTTATGGTGTTTATCTTCATGTGTTTTTGTCTATTTTAGAAAGACGTCCACCACCAATAATAAACATATCCTACCATATTTTCTTCTAATACTTTCATTTAGTAATTTACATTTAAATTTTTATTCACCTAGGACTCATTTTGTAATGAATGGTGTTAAGTAATGATCTCATTTCATGTATTATAGAAGAGAGGGTGGAGTAGGGAAGCTGCTGGCAGGGCCTACTAACATAACTTTCACATACAAAAACATTTAGCAGCCTTGTCATCATGTCTCCTTATTATTCCCTGCCTCTACACAAGGAACTCCAAGCCTACACTTCCCTAGGAATCCTTTAGGCAAATTGGCTCCCATTATTGAAACCCTTCTGTGATTCAAACATTACAGGTAGCAGCTGCTTCTGCTACATTTCATGAATGAACCATCATCTCCTTTTTGCCTTTTATAAAATGTAACTTTTTCATCAACTGATAATTCTTTTTAAAAAATAATTTTTACATCTTCCTATCTATTGAATAGGCTCTGGAAGACAAAATTATGTACTATTATTTAATTATAAAAGAAAATAATCTCTCCAGGGAGTCCTCAATATCACCCTTGTTTTCAAATCTGCCTCTCCCCACCTTACCAAGGGCTCTGCATGTGATGGCACAGAAAATGTCTGTGAAAGCCCACGTTTATATTTCTTATAAGAAATAAAAATGGCATTTAGGTAAAGAAATCTGTGGTTGACATCTGGGCTAAATTGCACTATAAATAGAAAAAATACTAAAGCCATACAAAACCATGTGGCTTTATTAGGATAGCAGTAAACTCAGGCTTGTGTCATACTGTATCGCACATTACCAATTCACTGATGGTCAACCCAAGTTAAGTCACATGAATGACATAAATGTGAGTAGAGATAGGGTCTTACCTTTAAAAAAAAAAGAACAGAAAGACAGACTTTTAATTCTGCTAAGGGCCACCTGACCCAAATCTACAGTAGATTGAAATGTTTACATTCTGACATAACCACTTGCAACCATCTTGGTTTTCCAAACAAAATTCTAAAATTGAGAAACTGCCCATTAAAGAGGTTGTATAAATTCAAACCCCTCCACATTACAGAAGTATCACCTTTCCTACACTTAAACATAAATCTTTACTGATGTATTTTTTTAAATGGATATTTTGTTGTCTTTATTTTTTCTGATCACAGTGAGATTCAGTACTTATTATACTTATAGGTCACTGGTTGCCTTTTCCTATGTTCTGCCTATGCGGAGAGAAGTGTCATTTTCTAAGTGATTTGTAAGAGCACTGTTAAAGATATGCATTTTATAGGTTATATATATTGCAACAAATTTCTCTCATTCTGAGGTTTTAAAAAAAACCTTATCACTTTGTTTATACTATCTCTAACCATACAAAAGCTTTATAAAGTATATACGTAGTCTAACCTGTGAATCTTGGGGATGGGGAGCAAGAGGACTTGCAATTTTATGTTTAGGAATATTGTTCTCATTCCATGATTGTGTGTTACACAATCCTCTAACTGTTTGTACCACATTAAGGTTAACCACTTGCAAGTAACTTTCAGGTATAGAATGAGAGCATTATTTTTGTACAGAACAGAACCAATTTTCCTAATACTGCTAAACCACTCATGTGAAATGTCACTTTTATTATGTATTTTTTTTTGTATCTATGAATGTATATGTGTGTATCTTCACACGTTTCAAACCTTGAAAAATTATTGTCCAGATTTTGTAGGATACAAAGAATCTATAGATTAATTTATAGGCTACTGACACGTATATGATAGCTAGTCTTGAGGAAGATAAAAAAAAAAATCTCCCTTTTAATCCTCCATTAAACTTTCATCATTCTATTTGTGTATATATTCATAATGTGAATTGTTTACTGCATTAACAACATACTCAAAGCTTTCAGGAGTCAGGAAGAAATATAAAGAGTAAGACAGGTAACATGTAAAGGAAGAGAGAGTTGTTTGAACTTAAGAGAACTAGACAACACATGCTCTCCTAAAGGTATTCATATTTATTGTAACCTCAATGCAAACCAAATCAAACATGTTTGCAGGCAGCCTGTTTATGAGTATTGATTTGCAGCTTTGGTTTTTTACTCTAATTTTGGAATTTTAGAAATTTAACACCTTTTCTAGTTTAAATGACATGGCTAAAATACACCCAGAATTAGGACAGGTGCTGACATACTTTATTTTCTATGCTTTATAGGCTACTGATTTTATCAAGTTTTCTATCTTGTGTTTTAAATTTTTATTTTGCGCCTGCTTACATATAAATGAGTACATGTGAGTAAATTCTGCCTGTCTTATTAAAGGTCATTCTTAAAACTGACTTCTTAGGACTGATGAAAATCTAATTGTTTTTTTATCAATAGTCCTATGTCTACATGTTCATGCTGATAGACATCAGCTGCTTAAGTCAATCCTATTGTATTGGATAACCTCATCAGCTACCTTTAGAACAATGATTACTATTCTTAATCAAACGGCTTTACCATCTCCCAGGCCTGAGCTGCTGATTCTTTCCATTTCTCAGATGGATCACAGCTGAGATGATTAGCTCTGCATTGTATACCATGGCATCTTTTTATTTTACATACATTTTTTAGTTATTACTTTATGCTAGGCACTCTGCTGAGCAATTTACTTGCATTATTTAATTCTTCCACTAACTTCTGAGGTAGTACCATTATTATTCACATAATATAAATAGGACTGAAGCCTGCAAAAGACAAAATGCTCCCCTCAAATTAGAGAGGTAGAACATGGAAGAGCAAGAACTCTAACCCAGATTTATTTGATACTGGAATACGAGTTCTTAATTTTGGGTAAGTATGCAGAGAATCGGATGGATAGTGATATGAGAGGGCTTTGGAAGGTAGTCTGGAACAAGGAGGTATTGGGAGATAAAGGGTATAGGGTATTTTGAGGAATGTGTGCTTTAACTTAAGAACTATGGGATATCACTGAGGAATTTTAATGGAGAAACAATATGATCACTTTTTAAAATACAAGTTTGGCTGTTATGTGGACGACTGACAGTGGTGATGGTAAATACAGGGAGACCAATTAGAAAGCTATTTCCATATTCTATGGAAAATATATCAATGTGCATTGGACAAGTATGAAATGGAAATAGATTGAAGGGATCATATTCTAAACATATTTAGGAGATAAAACCTACAGGTCTTGGCAACTGATTGGATGTTGAGGGTGAGGGAGATGAAAGAGTCAAGAATGACTCCATGGTATGAATTCTCTCATGATGAGCAAGGTGTGCACGCTGCCTGAAAGATTTCCTGCAATCCTTACATTCATATGGTCTCTCTCCAGTATGAATTCTCTGATGTAGAGTAAGAGATCCACTATAGCTAAAAGCCTTCCCACAAATATTACATTCATAAGGTTTCTCTCCAGTATGAATTCTCTGGTGTTGAGCAAGGCCTGCATTCTGGCTAAATGTTTTCCTACATTCCTTACACATATAGGGTTTTTCTCCAGTATGACTTCTCTGATGTTGTGCAAGTGAAGAACTATTGCTAAAGGCTTTCCCACATTCAATACATTCATATGGTTTCTCTCCAGTATGAACCCTCTGATGTTGATCAAGGTATGCAATCTGGCTGAAGGCTTTCCTACATACTTTACATTCATAAGGTTTTTCTCCAGTATGAACTCTCTGATGTTGAGCAAGATGTGCATACTGGCTAAAGGCTTTCCTACATTCCTTACATTCATAAGGTCTCTCTCCAGTATGAATTCTCTGATGTACAATTAGATATCCACGATGGCTAAAGGCTTTCTCACATACATTACATACGTAAGGTTTCTCTCCTGTATGAATTCTCTGATGCTGAGCAAGAAATGAACCATTACTAAAGGCTTTCCCACATTCAATACATTCAAAAGGTCTCTCTCCAGTATGAACTCTCTGATGTTGAGTCAAGTGTGCAATCTGGCTGAAGGCTTTTTTACATTCTTTACATTGATAAGGTTTCTCTCCAGTATGTACTCTCTGATGTTGAGCAAGATGTGCATTCTGGCTGAAGGCTTTCCTACATTCTTTACATTCATAGGGTTTCTCCCCAGTATGTATTCTTTTATGTTGAGCTAGGTTTGCACTCTGGCTGAAGGTTTTCCCACATTCAACACATGCATACGGTTTCTCTCCAGTATGAATTCTCTGATGAAGAGTAAGGGATGAGCTCTGATTGAAGACTTTCTCACATTCATTACATTTCAAAAGTTTCTTTTCCACATAGACTTTCTTATGTTTCACTTCAACAGATTTTTTTCGGTAACTTCTCTTTTGTGGATCATGCCTATGTAGCTTTTCTTTGGTGGGAAAACTCTGTTGTATATCAATTATTGCATCCTCATGGAATATTTGCCAAGATTTATTATATTCATTACTTTGATCTTCTGGAATGATTTCTTTATGTGTGATGATTAATTGACTAGAATGAACCTCCTGACTTCCCAACTGTTTCTTAAACCAGTCTTCACTTTCACAGTTTTCTCTCATACTAGGGCAGTCAAGGTTATAAGTAAGATGGCTTCTTCCCATTGTGATTACTTTGGGAGACTCTCCATAAATATCTTGCTTTGATGAAAATTCACTGTTTTTAAACACATACTCCCAACCTAAAAGATACGTAAAATACAAATGTCTTTTATATTTATTCATTAGAAGAAAAGAATCTTCTAAAACAAAAATAGGTGAATAAAATACATAATAAGTTCAAGGACTTAACAGTTCTTAATGCAATCTAAAAAATATAATAATAAAGAATAAGAACTTAAGTTGATTAAGGAAATAAATTAATCATAAATAATAAGGCAAATATCAGAAAAGCAAAAACATTGAAGAGGTCATCTAAAATCACAGCCATAAATTAATATCAAAGTCAATATATAACAGTTTCCAAATACCTTTCCTCTTGTACCACAGGCTATCCTGCATTCAAGCTAAGTTAGTTATCTTTAAAAGGCCATTTTTAAAATGTCAATAATGAAGCTAAAAACCCCCTTTGGAACTGGGGACATAAAGACACACCAGGCACTATTAAATACTATGGTTAAATATCTGCAGTTACAGAAACATTTTCCTGAAAATCATTTTCTATGTGATCAATTCCAACCAAATGTAAATTTTCAGTTGATTCCTAAAGATAAGATGCCTTCATATAAAAGTAGTTTTATATCAAAAACTGCCTACATTTTTTTTTCTCACCTAGTACAGACTTACCTTCCCCCTTTTCAGTTCCAAATTAGATCACCTTATTTTTCTGGTTAAGACTTTCTTGTGCTTTCTCAAAACCTTTATAATAAAACCAAAATTCCTACCATGATTTTCAAAGCCCGATATGATCTGTTGTTCTAATCTTACCTTCCACTACCTTCTTGCTTACTTACTCCCCTTCAGTCACATGAGTACTCACTTCATTGCCACTTTAAGAACACTAGTTTTACTAAATCTTTTCTATGTTTAAATTTAAAAAAACACTACATTTGCTGTTTCTCTGCCTGCAAAGCATTCTCCAGAAACTTCCTTGACCAATTATCTCAAAGTACTTCTTCACTTGAAGTTCTACTCAAATATTATCCTCTTCAGTATGGCCTTCCCTCACCACCCAATATAAAATATTACGCACTCATCATTTTCAATCCTCCTGCTTTGTGGTGCAGGAAATTTTTTTTTCACCCTTGAATACCCAATGCCTAGAGTAGAATGGGCAGAAAGATGACTAATATCTGTGGAATAATTCATGAATCAGTAATACATGAAACACTACATTAATTCATCCTCTCATTAGAATATCTCTGTGTGAATGTGGTAAATGGCTGAAATCAAATGGAATGCTACAACTGATCAGGATGTATTAATGTAGCAGATAATGAGATTTAGTAGGAAAAGAATCTGAAGATAATGTACTTGAATTGAGGCTGCTAAATCCTGCTGTGTAGCCTCAATGGCCTTCCAAACTCCACCTCTCCTCTAAACAATTACAAACCACATTATAAATGCTCCCTAGAAAGTCAAAATGAAGATGAAATTCTGAACACTCATAGGTGGAGAAGAAACAGGAAATGATTTGTAATTAGTATTAAATCTAGTTAAACTCAGAATTAAGGTAATAAAACAGTGCTAAGAAAAAAAATGTAGGTAGTCATTCATAATATTAAATTTCATTAGACTGAAAAGGATGTATATTATAATCATTACAGCCATGATTCTCAAATTTTAGATTGGATCAGAATTACCTGGACAACTTGCTAAAATATAGATTGCTATACCCCATGCAGTTTTTGATTAAGTAGGACTTGGATAAGGGCTGAGTATCTGCATTTCTATTAAGTTCCTAGGTGATGCAGCGGATCTCAAGACCACGATATGAGCACCACTGTGCTACAGCAGCCCCTGAAAACATACTGTACAAAAGTATACCTAAAAAGCCAACACATAAAGTAAAAGAGAATTCTAAAAATTATCCAAACCAGGCTAGGCGCGGTGGCTCACGCCTGTAATCCTAGCACTTTTTTTTTTTTGCATCATTGTATTTTGGGGGTACAGATTTTAAGGTTTCAATAATGCCCATTTCCCCCTCCCCCAAAAGTCTGAGTCTCCATCATGACCATCCCCCAGATGGTGCACATCTCACTCATTATGCAATGTATATACCACCCCCCTCCCCCCTCCCCCTGCCCAACTACCCTATTACTGTAGTACCTATGTGTCCACTTAGGTGCTAGTCAGTTAATACCAGTTTTCTGGAGAATATATCTGGTGCTTGTTTTTCCATTCTTGGGATACTTCACTTAGTAGTATGGGTTCCAGCTCTAACCAGGAAATATAAAGATGTGCTATATCACCATTGTTTCTTAGAGCTGAATAGTACTCCATGGTATACATATACCACATTTTATTAATCCATTCTTGGATTGATGGGCACTTGGGCTGTTTCCACAGCCTTGCAATTATGAATTGTGCTGCTATAAACATTCGAGTGCAGGTGTCTCTTTTGTAGAGTGTCACTGGATCATTTGGGTAGATGCCCAGCAATGGGATTGCTGGATCAAATGGTAGATTCAGTTGTAATCGCTTTAAGGTATCTCCATATTGCTTTCCACAGAGGTTGAACTAGTTTGCAGTCCACCAGCAGTGTAGGAGTGTTCCTCTCTCTCCGCAACCACGCCAGCATTTATTGTTTGGAGATTTTTTGATAAAGGCCATTCTCACTGGGGTTAAGTGATATCTCTTTGTGGTTTTGATTTGCATTTCCCTGATGATTAGAGATGTTGAGCATTTCTTCATATGTTTGTTGGCCATTCTTCTGTCTTCTTTAGAAAATTTCTGTTCAAGTCTTTTGCCCACTTTTTAATGGGGTTATTTGATTTTTTCTTCCTAATTTTCGTGAGTTCTAAGTATATTCTAGTTATCAGTCCCTTATGGATGCATAGGATGCAAAAATTTTCTCCCATTCTGTAGGTTGTCTGTTTACTTTCATGACTATTTCTTTGGCTGTGCAGAAGCTTTGTAGCTTGATCATGTCCATTTATTTATTTTTGTTACTGCTGTGATTGCCTTTGGGGACTTCTTCATAACTCTTTGCCCAGGCCGATGTCTAGGAGAGTGTTTCCAACTTTTTCCTCTAGAGTTCTAATAGTTTCATATCTTAGGTTTAAGCTGTTATCCAGCGTGAGTTGGTTTTTGTGAGAGGTGAAAGGTGTGGGTCCTGTTTTAGCCTTCTACAGGTGGCTATCCAGTTTTCCCAGCACGATTTATTGAAAGAGATTCTTTTCCCCAGCGTATGTTTTTGTCTGCTTTGTCAAAGATGAGATGGCTATATGAGGATGGTTTTATATCAGGATTCTCACATCTGTTCCACTGGTCAATATTCCTGTTTTTGTGCCAATACCATATTGTTTTATAATTACTACAGCTTTGTAGTATAGTTTGATATTCTGGCATATTAATGCCTCCATTTTGTTTTTGTTGCCTAGAATTGCTCTTGATATTCAAGGTCTTCTTTGGTTCCATACGAAGCGTAAAATTATTTTTTCTGTATCTGTGAAGAATGCTGATGGGATTTTAATAGGTATTGCATTGAATCTGTAGATCAGTTTGGGTAGTATAGACATTTTGATGATATTGAGTTTGCCGATCCACGAGCATGGTAGGATTTCCATCTGTTTACATCCTCTGCTATTTCTCTTCCTCAGTGTTTCATAGTTCTCCCTGTAGAGGTCTTTTTACCTCTTTGGTTAAATATATTCCTAGGTACTTTAATTTCTTTGTTGCTATTGTGAAGGGAATTGAGTCTTTGATTTGGTTCTCAATTAGATTGTTGTTGGCGTATATGAATGCCTCTGATTTCTGTGTATTGATTTTGTATTCCGAGACTTTACTAAATTCATTGATCAGTTCCAGGAGTTTCTTGGTTGAATCCTTGGGGTTTTCTAGATACATATCATATCATCAGCAAACAGTGAAAGTTTGATCTCTTCTGCCCCTATTTGGATACCTTTGATTCCATTTTCCTGTCTGATTGCTGTAGTCAAGACTTCCAGCACTATGTTGAACAGAAGTGGAGATAGTGGGCAGCCTTGTCTGGTTCCAGTTCTAAGTGGGAATGATTTCAATCTTTCCCCATTTCAGTATGATGTTGGCTATGGGTCTGTCATATATGGCTTGTATCATTTTAGGTATGTCCCTTCTATGCCCTATTTTCTTAAGTGTTCGTATCATGAAAGGGTGTTGAATTTTGTCAAAAGCTTTTTCTGCATTATTTATTGAAAGAATCATGTGGTTTTGTTTTTGCTTCTGTTGATGTGGTGAATTGCATTTATAGATTTACGTATGTTGAACCATCCTGCATCCCTGGGATGAAGCCACTTGGTCATGGTGGATTATTTTTTTGATAAGTGTCTGGATTCGGTTAGCTAGATTTTGTTGAAAATTTTTGCATCTATATTCATTAGGGATATTGGTCTAGTTTTCTTTTTTTTGTTGCATCCTTTCCTGGTTTTGGTATCAGAGTAATATTCGTTCATAAAAGGTGTCGGGGGGATTTCCGTTCTTCTCGATGTTGTGGAATAGTTTCTGCAAGATAGGTACTAGTTCTTGTTTGTAGTATGGTAAAATTCGGGTGTGAAGCCATCTGGACCGGGACTTTTTTTTTAGGGAGATTTTTAATTGCTGTTTCTATTTCAGCTGTTGAGATTGGTCTGTTCAGGGAATCTATTTCTTCCTGGTTGAGCCTAGGGAGGCTGTGTGTTTCTAGAAATTTGTCCATTTCCTCCACATTTTCCAGTTTGTGTGCATAAAGATTTTTGTAGTATTCATAAATTGTATTCTTGTATC